TTTCGTCAGACTTATCGATAGAACTCTCTTTGATTCTGTCTTTAAGAGAAAGCAAAACCTCGGGCATCAATTCCATCATCAATCTCTGCTCCCGAGGTACGAAATCGCAGTTTAGGCCCAATTCAGCCAACCTCTTCGAGTTCCTGTCGTTAAAAGCAGTAAGGTACGCTTTGGAGAAATCGTAGAAAGCAGAGCTACCCAGGCGTGAAAGATGATCGGGGATCCATGAGAAAAGGTCCGAATAGTCCCGGGTTAAGGGCTTGAAGCTGGAGGAGGATAGCAAAGCACATGCTAGAGAAAAATCACTGACACTTGCGTGAAAAGTAGAATCCTCAGCTGGGATTTTTTTGGGGAGAAGAGATTCGAGTATAGCTTTGACGGCAACACAGGAGCCTTCGCGTGTAGTGCAGGGTGCGTTGGCAAGGCACTCAGAAATTGGCTCGGTTAACCTGATAATAAGAACCAAAGAGAAATTACATAGTGAAGAACGAAATTTAACAAAGTAGAGAGACAGAGAGATGCAGCGAGGCTAACTGAAGGAGAAGGTTGCTGAGGTTTGAAAACGATTCCATTCCCGACGACGCAAGGGACACGCCAGAATGCCAGGCGAGGCAGCGCCGGGCTCTCGGAGTTTCTAAGACGACACCGTTGGGGAATACCGACAGAACGGCAACGGATTGTTCTTTCATTCAGGCCCAAAAATATTTGTCAAATTAAATGGAGCTAACCCAAAAAAAAAAAAAAAATTAAATGGAGCTAACCAAATAATTTTTGGTGTAATCTAAATTTAAATTTAATAATTATATAAAAATGTAATATAGTTTGAGAGAAAAAATGAAATTATAGTTTTATTTTTGGGCACCAAAGTTTAGATTAGTCGGGTGCTGAAACCAGCCGAAACAATTTATAGTTATTTAATGAAGGCTTTTTATTTACACCAATTTTTATTTAATTCTTATGAACTTATTTCTATTCAAAATCAAGGTCATGTTCAAGATGAAGTGTTACCGAACACTTGTTCAAGGTATTTACCATTTTTTCATTTACACTAATTTGTTATTCCAATTTTATGCCGACTTCATGTAAGTAAATAATTCTGTCAGACGTTGGCCAAAAAAAAAAAAATCTGTTAGACATCCCATGACCCCGTGCGCAAGGGGAGGAACCCTGAAAGCAAGGTGGCCATGGTCGCAAGCAAGCAAGGAGACATGAATATTGGTACTGACCAGAAAGATACATCTTCCAAATCACACTCTATCACAATTAAATTTATACTGCTTGACAAAACAACTGATTTGCACCGCACCTACGCAGTTGAATAAATAATAGTCAAGTCATGAGATCAAGAACAAGGTGAGATGATTGTAGCGACCTTTCTCCTTGAAAAGTTGAGAAAAATGGTGCTCGCAATACAAAATCCCCTCTAGGGTTTGCAATACAAAATGCTATGATGGAAGGCACCAAACCATAGTTCATCTCAGGATTTCACTTTCTAACAATCTTTGACAAAAGGAGCTCACCAGTCATAATTCCACGAAAAAGATGAAGAGAAGAGGCGTGAGGGTCCACCAATTACCCTGAGAACTTTCTGGATGATATGTGATGCTATATGATGCAGGTTAGCTCGTAGAATAGGAGTGATTTATGTGAATACTGAACATTTTATATTCTTGTCGCCTACACCTGACCAATACGGTCCTCATGCGAATAGCATAAAAGATATCGTTTACAAGATTTTTGTGATCCTACCTACTTCTGCAACGGATAAGCAGTTTTGCCACATGGAGCGCACTTTTCTTGTGTCCCAGAAAACATGCTGGCAGCTCTGCTGGGGGACCTCGTCGGGAACAAACAGAAGGTACCGCATTCAGGTTTAACAATAACACCAAATATTGCCTAATCACAAGTTTTAGAAGGTATAAATAACAATCTTACCCATTCAGGGGTTGTCTTTATACCGTGCAAAAGAAGGCACACGTGACTGGAAGTTTTTGTTGAAAGTTGAAACCGCCCGGCACCTTGAAGAGCTGCTCATAACGAGGCTTTACAATAGACAACAACTTCCATTGAGGAATAGTGGCTCAGCTGAAACATAAATATAACTATAAATGTGATAAATAAACAACGAGTGGCAGTTATATATATGGGGCCTCTTTAACCAGTCTTCTTTTCTCAGCGTGATAAATAAACTCAAAATAATACTACTTTGCATGAAACTTCACGAGCTCGAAATTACTGAGGGGATCTGATCTGAGAGGACAATTGGGAACGGGGCAAGCAGAGTGCAGCGTGCACTCAACCTCACTGAATCAAGGGCCCCCTGCATGCAATGCAAAGTTTCTAACTAAAATTTAATCACCCCCCACCTCCGTCTCCATCCTTAACCGTTCCTCCTCCTCTCCCTCTTCATCTTTCTTGCGTTTCTCTGCGCAAGAACCACCATGTTTCTCGGCTTCTCTTCCTTCGTCTCCCTCACCTTCTCTTTATTCCTCCTCTCTCATCTTCCCCTAGTTGCCTCCCTTCCCTGTCTCGGCGTCACCTACTCTGCATCCTCCAACTCCTCCCACCGTCACTTCCCACCGCCCTACCTCCTCCCCGCCGTCATTGATTCCCTCAGGTTCCCTTCTCTCCGCTTGGAAGATTCCGACCCTTCCATCATTCGCTCCTTCTTGTACACTAATGTCTCCCTCTTTCTTACCATTCCCAACTACCTGGTCCCCCCCATGGCCACGAATCGCTCCGCCGCCCTCAGCTGGCTCTACGTCCACGTTGTCCCTTTCTACCCACGAGCCAAGATTTCCACCATCTCCGTCGGCAACGATTTCGTTGACGCTTCCCCGGACTCCGTCGACCTACTGTTGCCCGCCATCAGGAACTTGCACCTGTCGCTTCGGGATCTTGGGATCCGCAAGATTTCTGTGTCCACCTCTTTCTCTTTCGTCAGCGCCATATCCACGCCGTTCCCTCCCTCCGCGGCTCAGTTTCGAGAACCTCCTGGGGATAATGTGATAGGGCCGTTGCTGCAGTTTTTGAGGGACACCAATTCGTCGTTCTTGATCAATGTGTACCCGTACAACTTGTACAGGCTGAGGTCCGAGATCCCGATCGGGATTGCTCTGTTTCAAGAACACGCTTTCAATTTCAGGGATGATGTGACCACCGGAGTTCGGTATTATAACCTTTTCGACATGATGATTGACGCGGTGGTTAGTGCGATGGCGGTGGCGGGATACGAGAATATACCCATTATCGTGACGGAGACGGGGTGGCCAAGCGCTAGCTCCGCTGGGAACGAGGCGGATGCGAACAAGGTGTACGCCGAGGTATATCTGAAGGGTCTGGTGAAACACCTGAAGTCCGGGAAGGGGACGCCTCTGAGCAAAGAAGGATTGTCAGAGGTTTACATATACGAGCTGTTTGACAAAGAGCAAGAGCGAGGAAAACATCCTGGGAGTCGTAGCTGGGGCATTTTGTATCCAAATATGACTATGAAGTACCATCATATTGACTTCTCTGGATCATCGACTCTTCTGGGTGCTAAAGCTTGGCTTAGCATGGCAGTGGCAACTTCGTCGCTGTTCCTTCTCTTGGTGTGTCTGTAGAGATGCTTATTGCTGTGGTAGCGGCACTGATCTCAATCTATAGGTTTCTAAAATGTCCGAGCAATATGGGTTTCAATGATCTATGATATTGTTATAAGCTAGATCGCCAGCTATTCTTTACAACCTGTTTCTGATCATGCTGTGCGGTGTGTAGAGAAGACACTTTGATGGATATTCTTCTGATGTTTGGGTGCAGGTTAGTGTAGTAATATCTTCCTGGTCAAAAGATTGTAGCCGCCTCCTCTCTGATGCATTGAGATTAGATGATCATTCGGAATGGGGAAATCGTTTTTACTTTTCTTAAAAATTTGGCGTTTTTTGTTTTTATTACTAGAAACCAAACCATGTGCTTCGTATTAATATGTTTGGGTTTCATTCGCTTTGGAGGGGCCTTAAAATTCACAACCGTCCACCCTTTTTTTTTTTTGTAATCAAAATATGAAAATATCGTTCATTATGAATATATGACTGCATCAATATCAATAGTATATTTTTCAAAAAATTATGGGAAGTCACGTGATTTATATGGAGGCCATTCTAATTTGATTTATATGGCATGTATATTATTTACACAACAGCAATTTATTTACTATTTTGTTACATATATTCAGTTCTTCTGTGCGCCAGAGCACATAGACCTTAGAGTGCGAACGCACACTGATGACTGATTTTTCTTTTAATTCACACTATATTTTTTTAATACCTTTGACCTGATATTTCTTTGAATAGTTACACGCTGTTTTCTTCTATCATATTCTTTAATAAATAAAGAAACTTTTAATATAAATTATAATTTCTATTGTACTACCTCTAGTTTTAATTATCAAATCTTGTTTGTAATCTATATAAATGAGATTTTGTAACAGAATCGAGATAGTACAACAGTTTTTAAAAAAAGTTTCTCTTGCATGAATTAGTATGTGTTTGGCAAGGAACTTTTATGATAGAGAGAGAGGGCATTACCCAAATCCAATCTAAAATGTTGGCTCTCCAACTCACCAAAAAATCTTTTGGGGCCATGTGATCACGGGGATGACAATGGTCAAAGGTAACAGAACGTGCTTTTGAACTTTTGAACGGGAGCTTAGTATGCCGCAAAATAGTTTTTTTTCCCCCCACTCTTTCCCCTTAGAAATTCATTTTTCCGCGGCAAACGAACCATGTATTTGCCAGTTTAACCCTTATATCGATCGCTTTCACTGATTTAGCCATAAGCCACTCAACATTTGAAAGGAGTATGTCAGGCTTCCCAAACCCTAGCTCTATTCCGGTAAGCATTGTGGTGATCTTTTCAAATTAGATTGGAGAGGCGAACTTACGATTGTAAGCTTGCACTCTATATATATGTACGAAATCTGGACTAAATACTATTTTATAACTACTAAATATTATGACTTGCTATAAATTTTATACCATATATTGATACATACAGATATTAATTCATACATAAATTCATGCCCCAGAAAATAATATTAGGTACAAATGAAAATTTAGATACCAATCATAGCTTTTCCCTAATACGAGTAAGCTAAATTAAGCAGCCGTATCAGAAAAAATGTGGTAAAAGAAAAAGAAATGGATATTCATTCCATGACCCCAAAAAATTAAACTAGTATGGCGCAACTGGAATCTCCATTTGATGTTCAAACTCATCACACAGAGGGCTCGGAAGCTTAAAATTTCTCATCCCAGGATCTTGAACCATGACTGCATCCATAAGGTGGCTTATGATACTTTTTATATGGAATCCTTTCCCCTCAATCACATTCCTTTTCCTTATAATGTATTCATTCCCTCTGATGGAATCCTCATAATCTTCTCTGTAGCAGTGCAGATTATCGATATTAGATATAGGATGAGAAGAGAGTTTAGACTTTCATTTCTGGTAAATCCCCAGACTATGAATAATTTCAAGAACCGAATTTAATTTAGAAATCCAAAAACTCAAGAGGCAAACGTCTAGTTTTAACATCAACAAAATAGTTTAGATCCTTTAGGGATATGTAAAAAGAAAATAATCACAATACCTCATCATCAAGGAAGACCAGCCTCTAAATCCAGCGGAAATAAGATGACAAGTCGTGACATTTCGCTGGGTTCCAGGTTCTCTTGATAACAATATTATTGGCCACCCGGCAGATTTAAGGTTCATGTATAATCTTAAAACAAGCTTAAGCTTTGAATTCCTTGCCTCCTTCATACATTCACTCACTCCGTAGTTATTAAACCTGCACCAAGGGAGAACTTTTCTCGTCATGTTTCTATCAATGACAACAACCGAAGCTAAGTATGCATTTGGTATGAGGGATTTGGAAAGGAGGGGAGGGAAGGAAAAAGATTTTAATCATTTCTCCTTATTGGCAACACACAAATTTTAGGAGAATTTGGAGGGAAAAGGCAATATTTTGTCATGTTGTGACTATTATGTCCATATTTATTTTTAATATTCTTATACTATCCTAAATATTTTTCTTCTTGTCTCCAGACACTGTTATCTCCTTTGCATGCAAATGTGAAATTTGAAAAGATAAAATAGACAATTCAATAAACAAAGTTTTGAGGATTTAAATTTTGACATATATAAATATGTCAAAATTTAAATCCTCGGAGCTTTATAGCCATAAAGATAAAAATAGATGAAAACAAGGTCCCACGTCTAATAAGCTTATTTGATTGACTAAATATTTCATTCAAAGATGGGATACAATACAAGTTGTGACTGAACATTACTTCATCCTTCTTTGCAATAATACTCCACGCTCTAGAATATATTAGAATTTTGATATAAGTATTGCTCAATATATTAAATGCTATTTACAATTCTATTTTATTAAACATTCTATAAAATTTGAAAAAATAATCTTAAATAAAATAAGGGTAAAATTGTCCATGTGAAAATATTTTTCCCTCTCCTCCCCTCATGAACCAAACAAGGTAATGTTAAAACTCCTCCCCTCCCTTTCCTTTTTATAAACCCAAACAAGGTAATATTAAAATCCTTCCACTTTCTTCCCCTCCCCTTCCCTCTATTAAAATTCCTCTCTTCTCCTTCCTTTCATTGAGCCAAACAGACCCTAAGTACCAAGGTGCATAAACAATCCAAAAGAAGCTCAACGAATAATCAATAGTGAGGGGTAATCTGAAGAAAGTGGGAACGGCAACCACGTACACTAGGGGGAAAAAGAATGAAAACATTATAACCCTGGTTGTCTCCAATCTGAGCAGTTTTCTTTATTACTCAGTAACACAGAACATTAATAATGCTGGCGGGTCTACCAATTCAAGGACGCTCGTGATATATTTCTGGTTACTTTAAAAATTTACCTTAAATGCTTCTTCAATGAAGGGGGAATGAATTTTGATATAGGCGACAGGAAATGTAGAATTTGCTAACAAGTTTCAGTTTTACCCGAAGAAACTGCTTCTTTTTTTTTTAATAAAGAAAATAAGTTCTGAAAGAAAGAAGGGGAGTTGTCCTGAGGTTTCAAAAATAAACCTTATGGTGAGATAACAAGAATTCCAACTACATGTTTTTGAGATTACCTGTGAAGCCAACCGGAAGAATGAGGATATGAAGAGAAAAGGTCATCTATCTCGATCAACACCACACCAAAAACATCATCTGATGGTTTGACCAGGCTAAAGTGATCCTCAATCAGAGACATGGTCGAATCCAAGTCTGCAGCGTACTGACCTCCTTTGACATACCGTATAGCAGGAGCTCTACAAACCTTGGGAAGATTGTAGCCTTGCAAGTTATTAAGTTCGGCATGCATTGCACAGATCTTGCAATAACTGTAATAATCATTCATACTCTGGAGCTCAATAACTCCAGCATGTTTACTTTGACAAGACTGCAGCATCACTGCCAATGAGACCAGCAAAGTAATTAACAAAACCCCAGCAGTGACCAGTCCAGTGATGAAGATTGTTGCAGCGAAAGATGTCATGTAGAATCCTGATTCCACAATATAACGGCTCCCCATCTCTGTGACCGGCAATGCAGCGGCAAGATATTCGTCATCAATAACACTATTTTAAAACAATAGTTGGCAAGATAATTCAGATTGATTGATAAGACAGCTGAGAATAAGTAGTGCCCTATTATCTACCATCGCTACCATCAAATGCTTTTGGCATGAAATGGTCAAATGGCAACAAGATCACGGCGGAGGGGATGATGAAAGAGATTTAAAAAGTGACATGCTTGAAATCATATAACATACCAGAACCACTTGAGAGACTTCCTGCAGAATATTGTCGCTCCATTTGATGGGCATAAGCAGACATGACTAAAATCCAGTTTAAGTTACTGATTCAGCTCGCTTCCAGAAGTCAAGAAAGTCACCTAACAATTTTTTTGATATAAATCTGGTCATCATTCATTACTTCAGTTTTAGTCTTACAAATCGACACAACTGGCAAAATAAAACCAATCCAAAAACGAACAAACAGAACTTGTACAAATGAATCACTAGAACTTGCAAATTACTATGACGAGCACCTACTCGAACCCTACACCTTACAGTCCCTGCTAATAAAATATGCCAATGCTATAACCCCAAAGAACTTTCGAATAATTTACTTCTCCCTCTACCATCTTCTTTAAGCTCGACCACTCCAATTCCAAAAGGCCAATAAAATTTAACCCCAGCAGCATCAAATACAAGATGAAATGAAACCAATTTCATAATATGCAAGATACAGGTTGCGTCTGCAAAGCTATCAGACCTTGAATCATCCGATTAGGTGGATGCCCAATCCCCTGACAGTGAACCCCGAATATGTTCAGAACAAGATCAAAAGGAAAGGTGCGAAAGGTTGGCGGTGGTTATTGTGTTTTCTATATTTAAATTAGCTTCAATGGTCACCCAAGGAAGGCTGGGAGAGGAAAGAGCACCAGAGAAAAGCACCATGTGCCTAAATGAATTCAACAAGGAAGTACGCCCCAGAGGATACATGATTCTACATTATCTGTTACACCAGGCGCTTTCACAGGAAGCTTCCTTTGTTTTTCTCATTCTGTCTTTCTTTTGTTAGTTTGTTTTGCTCTGCCGCGCTGCCTTGACTCTCGAAAGTGTAGAGTCATGGAATAGCGTCCTGACTGGGTTGCTCTGTGAGGAATCCAAACGATGCCGTTTTTCACTTTTCGTGTAATCTTAACCCTTCAATAAATCGACGGGTCTGAGAGCGACCAGCTCATTAACTTGCAAAGGACTCTCTCTCTCACTCTGGTTTACAAATGAAAGAATTATAAAGAAGTAACATAAACGTGGTTCATTTATTGACAAGCTAAAAATAAGTAATAATAAGGGATTGATAAATAATGACAAGAAAATCACAGAGACTGAGATTTTTTAGAACTAAATTCTTTTTAATCTCTCAGTATCCCTGTACAAATTACAATGCCGTCGCCTCTGCCATTTCTCTCGCCCGACGTGGCGGAGTATTCTCCTATTTTTCTCCGACGACGTGGCGGAGAATTTTGAGAAGTTGCAGCCGAAATCATTATCCAAGAGGGGGCTGGAAGTTGCGCTCAGTGGCAAGTGAGAAGACCAAGCCGGGGGACGAAAATCAGAGGCGCTTTTAATGGGCTTTGACTTCAACGGTGGAGATTGCTTGTTTATAATTTATGAAGAATGTTTACATTTTTTAAGTTTCACATAATTCTTTTTATTTTTTTACTTTTACCTCACATATTTTATAAATATCTTTCATCCCAATTATAAGACTTTTTATTAAATAAATGAATACAAAATTTCTAAAAATAATACTTCTCCACATATTTAATAAAATTAAATTTTAAAACATTATTAAAATGTTCATGAAGTCTCTACATAAGTTGCAGCAAGTTGTTTTTGAAAGAATGTGTCTTCATAGTCCTTTTTTTATTTGCAGAGTAACTATCTTCAAAATAATATATTGTTATTATATGATTCTTTATTTTTATTAGTAAGAGCACTAAGTAGAGGAGGAACACAACCAAATTAATAAAAAGAAATATATCCACAGATGATGTGAAACAAAGTGAGCAACAACAGGTACCACCGGGTTGGTGACGGATAAAAGAAATTGCCAAACATGGTCAACATTTAGGGACGTAATTATTTTTTGTTTTTCATGCTTTATATTATTATCTTATATATTTAATACAAGAGTTAGTTAACTAGTTTAAATAGATTATGGAAACTAATTAAATTATTTATTTATTCTAAAATATTTTTTGCTAATCAAGTATGTATAGACTAGAACTAATATTATTAAATATGAGAGAAAAGTAAATTAAAATCTTAAATTTTAAAATCAAAATAAAAAGTAAACGAATTCTTATTCTTATAGTAAAAAGAGGCAATTAATTACAGGTTATAACCATGGCATGTAAATTTTTTTTTTTTTTAATTTCAAGTCATCCGGCTCTGGGATGCAATTCTTTTACGATGACAATGTCCTTTCTCACTGAGATCAAAATTCAAAGTGGAATCCGTGGTTTTGAAATTTGGGTCAAGATTTCAGCGCTTCTGGGTTGCTCTCAACTCCGCAGGTGCATTTGACACTCCCACATGCCGCAAAGAGGTAACACCCAGCACGACCACACATACGCAGAACACATCCACAGAAGAGAAGCGAGAGGTCACAAACTAACAAATAGTGGGGTAAGCAGGCCCCCACCCATATCTCTTTTTTTTTTTTTTTTTTGACCAGAACCCCACCCATATCTCTATACATAACACCTCATCGCAACCACATAAATACTTGCGATGCTAATACGCAATTTTATCAGCCTATCTACTCCGCGGCTGACACGTGGCACTACTTACATACTGAGCCACTTATCTACTATCCTCCTCCTCCTCCTCCGCCTCTCCCCGTTCCCATTTCCACTCATTGCTCTGCAATAACGCACACCCTGCAGTATTGCACATTGTTTTGCAGCCATGGAGACTGGCATTGCCTGCTTCGCCAGAGGTACCTTCCTACCCAATGTTTCTTCCAAACACTCTCCTCCGTCCGTCTCTCCGTCTTTCGGATTCACGGTATACAAGCTATCTTTGTGTCCCCTTCATTTTCCCCCGAACATGACGTAAATATTTGAAGAATTCTTGAAAAACTTTGTCAAAAATGTTTGTTATGCATGACAGAGTCTGAAATCAAGCTCTTTATTCGGGGAGTCACTAAGAGTGGCATCCAAATCAACTGTAAAGGTTTCAAAGCCACGGGATGCTTCGCTTGTGACCAGATGTGAAATTGGTGACACCCTGGTGAGTTGCTTGCTTACGCAGCTTAAAGTTTTCAACTTTTAACGGCGTGAAGACTAAGAAATTATGGGTTGCTTACATCCTGTCATCTTTTTAAATGTGTGCGCTTTTTAGGAAGAGTTCCTTACAAAGGCAACTCCGGATAAGGGACTGATCCGGTTGCTGGTGTGCATGGGAGAAGCATTGAGAACCATTTCCTTCAAAGTGAAGACTGCTTCTTGCGGTGGAACTCAATGTGTTAATTCCTTTGGGGACGAGCAGCTTGCTGTGGATATGCTCGCCAACAATCTTCTTTTTGACGTAAGATTTCCATTTTTCAGTATGTTTCAAACTAAATAAAGGAACTGCTTCAGGATTTCTGCTGTATAGCTTGGCTTCAGCTTTTGGATTGATTTGTCTTGTCATGTTACAACCTGATCAAGGCAACCACTATTGTTTACAATTCAATATGCCCAAGTTCGTTATCATGTTAGAACCTGATCTAGGGAACCATTACTGGTGTGGGAAACTTGGAACTACCCTTTTTTTTTTTTTTTGCCTATGATAACCATGAACTCTCTGGATAATAAAAGTTGAATTCTTGATATCTTGAATAAAATCTTATTCCAAGGATGTGCAATGAAGCTAATTAGAATGTCCAATTTTGTCTGCATAGGCCTTAAGACACTCGCACTTCTGCAAATATGCTTGCTCAGAGGAAGTTCCTGAACTCCAGGACATGGAAGGTCCAGTTGAAGGTCTGCAGTGATATATTAAACTAGCTATTTAGATTTGGATGCATATATATAGTGATGGCATATGAGGTTCCCATTTGTGTGAATATGCGACTACAGGTGGATTTAGTGTTGCATTTGACCCGCTCGATGGCTCCAGTATTGTGGACACAAATTTCACTGTGGGCACAATCTTTGGTGTGTGGCCTGGAGAGAAGTTAACCGGGGTCACTGGAAGAGATCAAGCTGCTGCAGCCATGGGAATATTTGGTCCTAGAACCACATATGTGCTTGCTCTTAAGGACTACCCTGGAACACACGAATTTCTTCTTCTTGATGAAGGTTAACTCCCTGCCTTACATTTTCTGACAATTTAGGAAACCATTCACTGTGAAAATTGATTCGGGAAATTTTTTTGTTTCATGATAGAGGTTCAAAGCTTCAGGAAATTAACGACAATGTTCTCTGTTTTGTTTATCAGGAAAATGGCAACATGTCAAGGAGACCACAGACATTGGTGAAGGAAAACTTTTCTCTCCTGGAAATTTGAGAGCCACATCTGACAACCCTAAATATAATGAGGTCTACCTAGTCTTCCATCAGGAAACACAAATCTTTTTTCTAAATCTGTTATGTTGTACAAGACATTTGGAAGTGAACACTTACGTCTTAATTTATTTATCATTATACAGTTGATCAACTACTATGTGAAAGAAAAATACACACTGAGATATACCGGAGGAATGGTACCAGACGTCAACCAGGTCCTTTCTTGATTTTCTCATGATATTCCCTTGTCTTGGAATCAATTTAGGGATAAATCATTGAAAGTTAACATTTATCCTGGCAGAACATGCTCTTATAGATATCTTCCTCTTGTGTGCAGATTATTGTGAAAGAGAAGGGTGTATTTACAAATGTGACATCTCCATCAGCCAAAGCCAAGCTGAGGCTGCTGTTTGAGGTCGCTCCCTTAGGGCTCTTGATTGAAAAGGCAGGAGGTTTCAGCAGTGATGGTCATCAGTCTGTGCTAGACAAGGTCATAAATAACCTTGATGAGAGAACTCAAGTTGCTTATGGATCCAAGAACGAGATCATCCGGTTTGAAGAAACTCTCTACGGTTCATCCAGACTCAAAGGTGGTGTTCCTGTTGGAGCAGCTGCTTAAGCTGTTGAGCTGCAATCCCATCGGAAATTTTCATCTCTTTTTTGTGAAGAAAGATATATGTTGTTATCAATCTTACGGACAAGTGGTTATGATTTAGTAACATATTTTCAGTTTATGGTGATAACAAAGTTAAGTTGACGTTGATAAGACTGAGATCATCTCGTCAAGTTCACTGTCCATTAAGCAATGCCTTGTGAATTTTGGTTCATCGAATACAGACTCAAAATCAAAGTTTCAATGAGAGAATTTTCGATAGATAAGGTTTTCTGTAGCTCTACGAGGGGAGTGTTATCACAGCTATCAAAGTCTTTGGAGTGATCGCAGAACATAATTTGAGATGACGAGGTAATGGGGATATGTTCAAAAAAAGAGAGAAACCATTTTAGAAAATGAAAATTTCGAAGTCTGGCCTTGTCGCTATTTGTCCGAAAGCAGAACATGCTATCTTGTCGATTTAATAGGACAAGGTTAGCTTTGAATCCCACGATTACTCTCACAAGATAAATGCTGCGCTCATAGAAAAGGGGAAGTGACTCCTACTTCTAAGTTAACAGCGAAGATCTGATCCGTTTGCCTGAAGAATATCCTCATCGTGCAAAGTTGTTAACCTCGGACTTGAAACAAACGTGGTATGGTTATATGTAGTTGTGATACGATTCATTTTAATTTTGTCTATCTGGGTGACGTAAATGTAAACCGACTTTTCTAGTTCTTCTGACGGTCAATTTCCTCCCCCCCGCACCTCTGAGAAGGTTCAGGAAAAAATGAATGAATGAATCAGTCAAAAAGATAATGTAAGTCAGAGAGTAAAAAGAAGACTTGATCACATGTGAGTTGATCGAAAATGCTGTAAATTGGACCTGAAAATCATCGAAAGTATCAGAAAATGCTTGACTTTTACCTTGATGAGGTGGAGGATGTTGGCGTGGGAGATGGTAAATGGCATGGTTCAGTTAGAGGCATGGTTTGTGCACCACTGGACAAAGTTTGGGCCGTGGTTTGTCAAACTAAAAGACTCCCAGAGTGGATGCCAATGGTGGAAAGATGCACTGGCTTGGCCGGAGTAGAAGATGAGCTGGGCTATGTCAGGCTCGTCTCTGGTTCTATGTTCCCTCAACCAGATGGAGAAAGGTCATGGATCAAGGAGAGGTTGGTTTCCCTGGACTCTTCATCACATAGCTATGTTTACAGAATGGAAGCAAGCAGTGTAGGTTTAGACGGATCTGTAAATTCCTTAAACCTAGCTGACTGTGGCTTTGGCTCTACTCTTGTTCACTGGTCATTTGAGAAAAACCCCTTGAGAGATGCGTGTGAGGATAGCATCATAGATTATCTGGGATTTCTCTATAAATCTTGCATTAATAGAATTGAGGGCGCCACAGAAGCTGAATCAAAATATGCTCCGCCATCATAATGTACTATCAATGCAAATATGATGCACGTGTGATCTTTGGTATGTAATGCCTCGTCTCACTTTATTTTTTATTAGGAACAGATACTCATGGCCAGGATCGAATCCGCAAAACTCCTACCTATAAAAGGAAAAAAAAAAAAGGCTTTCATGTAACTAGATTATAAGATCATTGACTAATGCCTTGTCTAAATTTGAACTTGTCAATTCTCAATTAAATTAAATCCTCTGATCCAACTAGTTAATTCGATTTGCTGAGGAGGCAAAGAGATCAATCAGAAGCCCCTATAAATTGCTTGCCATCTCGATTTCCACTATAACTTCAAAATTTTCGATACAAACTTTGCGTCTTTCTCCACGTCAAATCGGTTTCACAAACCGAATAAAACATCATAATTTGATCATTATTCCGTTGGATGGTCAAATTTCTGGTTTCTCTGTTTGAAAGCCTGGAGATTTATTTTTTAAAGAAAATGAGGCATTATTTTAAAGATAATATGTTTATATCATTTATTTTAAATTGTTTAGCTTGCTCCTATTCATAACAATAAAAATTTTGCGTGTTTTTCCATGTCAAATCGGTTTTGCAACGCGGAGATAGAATATCGTAATTTGCGATACTGGCCATAGAACTATTCCGTTGGTTGGGCACTTTTCTTTATTTGAAAGTGTGGAGATTTATTTTTAAAAAATAGGATAGGTGTTATTTTAAATTTATTAAAACAAATTATGAATTTATTTTTAAATTATCTGGCATATTTTTAATCATAAATAACAAATATTAGAATCACGAGTAGATTGAGGAGGCAGAACTCAAATACATAATATTCTCTTCCCTTTTCTCGTTACATATTTATTTACAGTATTAAATTGTATTTAACAATTTCGATGAAATTATTATAAACAACTTTTATTATCATATGGGTTTGCATAATGTACTTCCAGTCCTATATAAAAGCTTTACTTTTAGATAGGGGTATGGCCCAAAATATAAACTCTATTTTTTAGTTTGTTTGAACATTTATTACTCTTTTTTTTTTTTTTCTATTTTGCCTTTAGTTGATTGTATTTAGTGCTTCCTCTCTTTCATTAATATTACTCTCATATATTCTCTTTTATCACTTTTTCATTTATTGCCTCTTTTATTTACTCTCTTAATAAATAAAGGCAAATTTAGAAGGAAAAAAAATTATATTTCTGATCTTTTTATTGTTTTTAATTAATTTTAACTGCTAGTTTGTTAAATGTGATTCAGTTATTTGAAACTTATATATAGGACCTAAGGGAGTATATTTGTAAATTGTTATTAGTTATTATGGTTGAATAAAATTATGATAAGCATATGGAAAGTTAGCCACAGTAGCTCTATCCTTTATACCCTTTTCAAAGAAGGTTAATATAATTTTTGGTTCAGTTTGTCCCCGTTTTGATTTTAGTCCCTCAATTTTCAAACCGTAGATTTTAATCAAAGTTAGATCATTTTGTCCCGACTTTTAGTTTGAAACTTGAGGAATCAAAACTAAAATAAGAACAAATTTAAAGAATAAAAAATTATATTAACGTTGTGAAAGAAAGGAAAAAAGATTCAGAAATACATGCAGACAGAGAAAACGAAACTTAAAAAAGAAAGAGAAATCAATCAAGAATTACGGGAAATAGGAAGTGATGGGGATTTGCAGTTGCGGGGTATGTTTCTAGTTTCAATTATCACAAAAAGGTTTCCGTCACATGATAAAAGCAGAAATGGTCAACACTGATACAGACAAATGGCTACCACCTTGTGTTGTGTAGCATGCAAGAAAACTTGGTAATATGCATGCCTGCCATTTTGTGCTCACCTAACCTTTATAAAATGACATGGCATCCAAGATTGTTTCGTTAGTTATAAATGAGGTGGTGAGTCACTTGCTAACATTCCGCAGACACATAGAGAATTAAGGAGGATGGAGCCATGGCTTCTGGCATTGATGTTTGTGGTGGCCCTCTCCTTTCCAGCACTTGCTTAGTCTTTGGTTCGTCACTATGAGTTTAGGGCAAGTGCAAGTCAGTTTCTTGTCTCTGCTTTTCTTATGAAGAAAAACATAAATAACAGTAACAAAAACTGGCACACTATAGTATCTATCAAAGATCTCCGTACATGCTCACAATAGTAAAATGAACTTGCTGGGCATGCATTGAAAGGACACCAAATCAAAGGAATCCAAACAAACATATTCATTGTGGTGGTCAATGTGTGCACTATATAGGTGGTCTTGAAGAACACAACAAAACTTTGCTCCTCAAAATCATTCGTCACTGTCTATGGGAAGTTCCTGGGTCTGACCCTCTACGCCAGAGAGGGCGACAATGTAATTGGATGGGTCACTAACTGCGTCACGTACAGCGTTAGAATCCATCAGTGATAACCACTACTGCTAATAAAATTACAAGGAGAATATTTGCAATAGTAATAGGACTACATTACATTTCAAACTCGTGGCAGGCATAGAGTCAGACAATTCTAAACTGGGTGGTCTAATGGACCAGCATATATCATGCAATGCCTGATCCAGCCTGGGTAGGGCTTTATCTATAACTTCACCATCTCAGGGTAAAGAGGCACCATCTTCTGGCATGCACATGTGACTTGGCTAAGAGCCATTATGCATGGTGCCATTGTCATTTGACATGAGCCAGGCATTTGTTATCTATTTCCTAAACCTCACAAAGAGAAGGTCATCATTCTAGGTTAGTCTACAAGTAGAGTTTTTTGTGAACATTTCTGGGTCTTGGTTGTGTTGTTCATATACATGATATTGTGTTTGATGTGTTGAGTTTGGGTCAATGGTGGAAAGCAGACGTTGAGGCTGTGCTCAATCAGTCAACAATAACTGGCTTGCTGCCGAACGTATCAGATGCTCATACCATCAATGGCCTTTCATGACTAGTCCACGATTGCACTTCTCAAGGTACATAAATATGTGGGAGGTAGTTTATAAACTAAAAACTAAAAAAAATTTCAATAGAAATAAATTGTGTTTTCAAACATTCAAACTTGGCCTGCAAATGACATAAGCTATTTGTTGGAGATGGGGACCTGTGCTAGTTTGGAGCTTATGTGGACCTTGGTTGAAAGCAGCAAGACATACCTTTTTCGAATTGTGAATGCAGCTGTGAACAGTGAACTCTTCTTCGACATTTTCAGGCATAGTTTTGACTATCGTGGAAGCAAACACCTCTTACGTTAAGCCGTTTCAGATGGACCCAATATTCATTATCCCAGGTCAAACTACAAATGCCCTCTTAACTGCAAATCAAGGTATTGGCAAGTACTTAATTGCACTCATTCCTTTCATGGACACCCCTGTTGTCTTTGACATCTTGACCACAATCGGTACGCTTCGCTACAAAGGCACACCTCCTTATCCCAAAACTGTTCCGACTAGCATTCCTCCTATGAATGCAACCCCAATATCCACTAAATTCAAACAACTACCCTGCACATGTTCCAGTGACCATAGACCACAGTCTTTTCTTCACAACACCTGTCGAGGTAAACCCATGTGACACGTGTCAACGGGACCAAGCTTGTATCTACAATTAAAAATATCAGCTTTGTCCAGCTAACCGTAGCTCTTCTTCAAGCACATTACTACAACCAAAAAGCAGTTCACACGGATGATTTTCCTGCAAATCCCTCTTGGAGTCTTCAATTATACTGGTACTCAACCAAATAACAACCAGAGCAACAATGGCACGAAAATATATAGATTGAATTTCAGTTCAACTGTTCAAATCCTTCTCTAGGGCACTGCAATGGTAGCTCCAAAAAGCCATCCTCTTGTTGTTGGGAGTGGGTTAGGGAATTTTGATCCACAAAATGATCCAAAGAGCTTTAATCTTGTTGATCCGATGGAGAGAAACACTGTGGAGGCACCTAAAGGTAGGGGTGAGTATTCGGTTTTTCGGTTCGGTTTTCAGTGATAACCGAATTAACCGAATAACAAATAGAGCAAATTTTAAACATCGAATCAAAACCGATAACCGAACTAACCGAAACCGAATTAACAGAATTATTTCGGTTCGGTTAACTGATTAACCGAAATATATAAATATGAAAGTGATTTAATAATAAAACACAATTACAACCATTAATTAATAAATATTTCATCATTTAATGTGATTTATTACAATAATATTTATTATAACCATATTTATTGAATATAAATATATTTAAAGAGTTCACATAATCCCATATATATTTATTAAATATAAAATATATAATATATTTATTTCGGTTTTTTTGGTTATAACCGATTTTTTTTCTACTAACCGAACCGAACACTGAAACCGATTATTATAAAAATAAAAACCGAATATGTAACCAAAAACCGAAATAACCGAATCGAAAAACTGAAATTAAATTCGGTTCGGTTCGGTTTTTTGTTACAGTTAGGTTTTGCTTACCCCTACCTAAAGGTGGATGGACTGCTATCAAATTCAGGGCAGACAACCCAGGTAGCTACTGGCATATCTTTCATTTTTGAGTTTGATATCAAGAATAGAGTAACTAGTTGCATCAGAAAAATTTCATTCTATCAACTTTGTTTTGGCTTATGTTGTGGTAGGTGTCTGGTTTATACATTGCCATTTGGAGGTACACACAAGCTGGGGACTTAAGATGGCTTTCACGGTGGAGGATGGAAAGGGCCCCAGTGAGTCTTTGTTCCCACCTTCCAAAGTGCTAGGGTCGCAGGGCGTCTGATTCAAAGTCGTGAATGACAACTAAGAGTGTATTCTGCACTCTGCACTGGACATAGCTTGTTTGAAATATTACAAAGCTCCAAATATATTCTTTTTAAAAAGAGATCGAATTTTACTAGAAATTAATAAATTTGAGATGAATTGACGATTCCATATGAAATTATGAAGTGCATAATTTAAGTCGCAAACCAGAATTTCAAATTATTTTATCACGGTGCCATGTGTAATTGTAAATTCAAAATATTTATGTATGATCAATT